GGTGCGAGTGTCGTGCCGCAGGACGGCACTGTCTTGTGTCATGTGGGGCCAGTTGGTGCAGTAACCATGAAAAACTGCAACTGCCTTCTTCGAATCAAGCAGTTGGTGGGGTTGAAGAATCTGAGAGTGAACAGAAGGATTCTACTACTTTGGCTTCTCATGGTGCCATGTTGCTCCAAACGGCGTTCTCTGATAAGTCAGCCGAGCCCAAGCACGAGGACCCAGCAGCGGAGTCTATCAGAAGAAAGCCCCTCTCTGATATCGGAAATACTCTGGTAAATTACATGCTAAGCTTTTTGGTACTTTTGTTAATATGGAGTGTAAGCCTTTTTTACCCTCCTCTTGTCTTGTTTTGAAAGTCATAGTTAAAGTTTCACTTTCTCAATAGATAAAAACATTAAGATGTCTTTACTTGAACTAATTTCTATCTTAACCACATCTAACTTTAAGAGACAGGAACAACCTTTACCAACCTTTACTATTTTTTGAATACTACAGGTAAAACCCAACGTGCCAAAACCGCCCAGAAAGACATGGCGGAAGGGCGTGAAGAAACCTTTAATTCAATTGGTTCCTGTTGGAGACCAAAGTTGTACTGAATCTGCAGGCAAACCAGATGACACAGAGAAGACGGTGACGACGGATCATCATAATCTTCCATCGAAGTTACCCCGGGCTATCACTTCCATGTTATCCGCTAGCAACACGTTGAAAGAAAGGAACGCTGTCAACAACGCTGATGCTAATTCATCTGTAGCAAATAAAGAGAATCATCGCAGTAGTGGTGTTGATGATAAAGAGAATTGCTGATTGTGAGCTATATGTGTAATTTATTGTATCCACCAGCATTTCCGATGTAATTTTATTTTATACTGACAGTGTATATCGGCCTTTTGGAAATTCTATTTCTGATTTTAGCACACCGAGTAGAACAAACATTAGATTGATCATTGATGGATGATTTCCAGGATTGGGCAAATTGGCGAGGGATAGTTGAACAACAAATGTCTGACCATGTGTGTGTGTGTCTCTTCTGTATACTGTCCGGTTTTAGTGAGCTTGAAATCCCCACAAAATAGGACTAAAATTTAATCGTGTATGAAATCAAAGATTAAGGGTTGTTTGCAAAATGGCATTTGATCCTAATTTTAAAAAGTAATTTTTTTAATGTGACGTTAGAGAAAGAGTTTAATCTCTTTCAGTAGTATTTTGAGAAAAAAATGATTTTAAAACAATAAAACTTAATACTGTTTAGTAAAAATATACCAACAGAAAAGGTATTTTAAAAGATTAGAAAAATATACGTAGTACTTATGATTCTTAAAAGTAACCAATTTATTTAATGTTAAATCGCTAAAAGATTGGTTAGTTATTAATGCTTACGTTTTACGAACTACAAGTCTACAACTGAATTTAAGCTCACGGTATATTCAAATGGGTCAAATTAAGGGTGGACCTGGGAAGACTGGGTTTGACCCGGTTAAATCAGTGTTTGTGCCGGTTTCGGATACTCAGGCGGTCCGATCCCGGTCCCCGTCCGGTTATATCTTTCTTCGCTGTCAAGATAAAAATAATTGGTCGGGACGGGACAATTGCCTGATTCGGTCCCCAAAACTCAAGCCTGGGACAGGGCCTGCCGGTTACCCGGTTGGGTATCCGGTTTTTAACCGGACCGGAGAAGCGGATTCGTTCCGTTCGAAACAATGCCAGACCCGGTTTCGGACCGGGTCCACCCATAAGTCCAATGAACATATAAAAGGAGGTTTTCCCGATATATTAATTATAAAAATTTTTAGTAATAAAAATTCATGCATAAAAATGTGAATTAGTAATATAATTATGTTCAAAGTCATATACTCCGATCCGTAGTTACTACGATGTAAACTTTGTATGTAATTATAACTAAAAGTTATTAGGTCACATTTTTGGTGAAATTTTTTCTATTCAAAATATGTAGTAGGTTTTATCAGTGCATATCCTACCTAGTATTAAGAGCCTTTTGGTAACACTGAAATTGGTTGAGACAATTGATTAAACCAGTTGAATCCGCTAAACCGTTGAAATTGATGAAATTCCGACTAAATTGGTTGAATTGACTAAATATGTTAAGTTATCGAAAAAATCATATTTAATATATATTTTATTAATAAAATGAAAAATTATATGAAAAATAGCTAAAATTGTAATTTGCAGATTCTTGAATTAATTCAGGTTAGAAAAATAACTTTAACCTTACTTATTTAGCATGCAAAAATAAAAAATTATGTGTTGAAAAGGTTAACTGACAAGGTTGATAAACTTGAGATATCAAACGAGTTTAAACTGGTTGAGAGAAAAATGATCATGAATAAATAAGCTTTCACGAAATGCAAAACGAATACTTACAGAAAAGCAACAAGAATATGTTCGCTCATAATTTACATCAGAATCTATGATGTAATTGCCAAACAAATCAAATTGGAACCGCCACTAAAACATTCCCAAACGCAATAGCAAACAACTTGGAAATAAGTTCAGAGGACGAATGATGATGATGCCAAAGTTCGTACATCATTGTTGAAGTAACAACTAAAGTCCCAAGTAATTTCAGACCACAAATACTGAATGAGACGTAGAATACAAGGCATACATGAAGAAGAAAGAAGCATTTGGTTTCTATGGGACCAATACAAGGAATACCATGTGCACCCATGCCTAAATTTGTTAGGTTGTTCCATGAGTATGACACATGAATTATTGATCTAAGAGGATGCTCATCAAATCTCTCTTGTGCTCATCACTAGTTAACAAAAATCCCTTATGTCCTTATCATCATTATCAATTCATCATCATCATCATCATCATCACAATAACTATATATATAGTGATCAAATTCCAAAGTTGAAATTCCATTTACTTTCATTGTCAAAACTCGTAATAGTTGTAATTTCAAGACTTAAGTTGAAATAGTTCAAACTTTTTATATGATGTCCCGACATAGTAGTACGTGGAAATGAATAGTCAATCTAATGGAAATTGTATGGTCAAAAATATTCTAGAACGGAGACGCATAATACTACCTCCATAACGTTCAGATCTTCCCACTTTGAAATTAAAGTGGGTGAGAATATGAATAGTGAAAGTGGTTATAAATTATTAAGAGTATGATGGAAAGATAATGAAATAATGTAGTGATGAAATGAAGAATAAATAAAAAAACAGATGTAATATTGTATGCTTTTTAAAATTATTGAGGATATGATGAAAAGATATAGAAATAAGAAGATTATTTAGATACGATTGAAAAATGAAAGTAGGAAGATTTTTATGTTACGGAGATAGTATGAACCATACAACAAAAATATTAGTCTTTGTCCCAAAAAAATTCGTGATCTACTGTTAACATGAAACCTACATGATATCGTCGGCAAAATTTATACTATGAACCATAAAATATATTACGTATAAATGTAACATAATACGGAGTATTTGTTTATGGAAGAGCGTAAAATGAAAATATAAAGATAATTATACAAGAATATAGAATACTTTATTTTGTCATTTTATCATCCCTACTTTCTTGTTTTTTATCTTTTTGTCTCATACGGAGAGTACTCAATCTTATTATCCTACTTTTTAGTCTCTCTACATTACTTATTATCCCTACTTTCTTAATCTACTTGAAAAACCTATATTTGCAACTAATAAAATAGGAAGATCAGAGTATTCTTTGTAGTCATTCAAAAAGTTAATTGAACACACAGTTAGCATGTACAAGTAATTTATGCTGCAAAGTTTTTCAGTTTTATGCTGCAATATATGCTGCATTTTGACCAGGTTTTACTCGAGTCTTTTTGTATTATTTCGTTACAAATACTCGTATCTAAACTACTCCGTAATAACTATGGAGTATATATAAGTTAAAAATAGCAATTTTGCTAATGACAAACTGCGAACACAAATGTCATTTCAATCTCTATCATGTGAGATTCTTTTGTTTGTTAATAATAATGATAGCAATAACAAGGAATCTTACAAAAACAAGTGTGATTATAATAATGACAATAACGAGTAATGTTAAGATGTCAAGTTCTACCAGATAGAAAGAGTAATTCAGATCTTAATATAGTATTTAATTCTTCCAGAAATATCCGGTGTGAGACTTTAAAAAGTAATAATAATATTTCATTCTATAACTTTTTAATTATCATAATGCTTAAAAGAATATTATTGAAGAGTAATTAAACTAAATATTTTCTACACTACATAATTATTATTACTTTGAGATAGTAATAAAGTAAATAATTTGTTTACAAAATAAGGGAAGAGTATTTTATTCAAGAACGTTCTAAGATTGTATATGAACTTTAAATATTAACATGTTCTGTAATAGGAGTATTAATTACAATAATGATCTCATTAGTACAAATAATTCATATACAAAATGTTAAGGCGGTTAAATAAATCTAATTACAATTACAATGGTTAACAAAGTGTAAGGTCTCCGGCCATTTAATATTTACAAAAACTTCTAGTCTAATAAGCGTTAAAAGATGTTTTTACTTGAAATTACGGAGTACTTCTTTTTCAAATCAACAGACTAGATTAGACCAAATCAAACCAATTCAGACTTAAAAGCTCAATCCATAACATACCAGATCAGATTTAAATAGGGATAAGGGTCAGTTTGGTCCTCGAAGTTGCAAAAAAGTAGTCAAATAAGTCCTTATATAGAAGATTCTGTCCGGAAGTGTCATTTGAGGTGGCTCCCGGTGGAATATTTTGATGAATATTTTTGAGCATCTTATTCATTAAGTCTAGTTTACTCATATCAAATTTCAGATAAAAATTCAATCAGGAAGACATTGAAATGAATTCTTGAAGATAATTGTGCCATTAAAAGCGTAGTTATCTTCAAGAATTCATTTGAATGTTTTCCCGATTGAATGTTTAGATGAAATTTGGTATGAGTAAACTAGACTTAATGAATAAGATGCTTAAAAAAATATCAAAAAATTTCACCGGGAGCCACCTCAAATGGCACGTCCGGACATAATCTTCTATATAAGGACTTATTTTACACTTATTTTACAAGTTCGAGTACCAAACTGACCCTTTACTCGATTTAAATAGGTCACACCAAACCGGATTTCTGCAGTCAACAAATACGCATACACCGCACCTCTACCGGATCTGACTAATTAAACCACGCTTAAACTGAACAAGATCAGACTAGACAACAATAAATTTGAGCTAATTAAAAACATTTAAATTTTGAAAATCTATTTCATGAAACAGTCCTATAGCCACGTTATTCATTTGAGTAGTTTGAACAAATTAAAGAGGGAAGATGATAGAGAGCAGCAATTGGGTCGTTCAATTCAACTTTATCAAAGCTCAAATAGACAATATATCGAAAGCTGCAATTGAATCTTTTTCATGGGATGACTGTTGTTTTCTGTGTATATACGCAGCAAATCAAAGAAGAAAGATCAAATAATAGGTTTTGTTATTCTCTGTTAATCGAAGGTGTCTCCACCTTTTATACAAGAGTCATACTCTGCCATTTGGTAGGCGGTGGCTATAATCTAGGAATAAAATCAAAGGAAACCTAAAATAAAGAGTCCAAGAATCAAGCAAATACACAAACTGATTTTTGCCCATAAATAGTTAACGCCCCAATACCCCCCCTCAAGTTGGAGCATGGGGATTTAAAATGCCCAACTTGCGTAAAAGAGTGTGAAACTGAGTTTTCCCAAGAGCCTTGGTGAAAATATCAGCAAGTTGCATGGTTGTAGGAACATAATGAGGTGCAATGAGTTGAGCTTGAACGGCATCACGGACAAAATGACAGTCCACTTCAATATGTTTAGTTCGTTCATGGAACACTGGATTATTTGCAATATGAAGTGCAGACTGACTATCACAGTAGAGCGGTATGGCTTGAGGATGGTGAATACCCAAGCTCAAAAGTAACGCTTTCAACCATTTAAGTTCACATGTGGCAGATGCCATAGAGCGATATTCAGCTTCAGCTGATGAGCGGGCGACTGTAGATTGTTTCTTGGCTTTCCAAGAAATTGGAGAGTGTCCAAGAAACACTAACCAACCAGAAATAGACCGCCTAGTAACAGGACATGCGGCCCAGTCAGAGTCGCACCAACCAACCAGGGTAAGATCACTATCAGCTCGTAAGAGAATACCTTGTCCAGGAGAGCCTTTGAGATATCGGACTACCCGCAAAGCTGCAGACCAATGCTCTGTCAGGGGTTTTTGCATGAATTGGGACAAGATATGCACAGAGTAAGTAATATCAGGACGAGTGACCGCCAAGTAAATAAGGCGACCAACCAACCGCCGATATGGTTCGGGATCGGCCAGTGGTGCCCCTGTTGCATGGCCGAGACCATGATTCTGCTCTATTGGAAATGTAGCCGGCTTAGCTCCCAAAAGACCAGTTTCAGTGATAATATCCAGAGCATATTTTCTTTGAGTAAGGAAAATCCCAGTAGAACTGCGAGCCACCTCAATGCCAAGAAAGTATTTAAGCTTTCCCAAATCCTTCATGTGAAAACAAGAATTAAGATATGATTTGAACCGAGAAATGGCATCGCTGTTATTTCCAGCAATAAGAAGGTCATCAACATAGACCAAAATGTTGAGTTGAGTTTCTCCACGAGTCAATGTAAACAAGGAATAATCAGCATATGACTGGAGAAAACCGTAGGTTTTAAGAGCCGTGACTAGTTTTGCGAACCAACATCGGGGTGCTTGCTTAAGTCCGTATAGAGATTTGTGAAGACGGCAGACCAAAGTCGGGTCCTGAGTGCGATAGCCTGGTGGAATAGTCATGTAGACTTCCTCATTTAAGTCACCATGCAGAAATGCATTATGAACATCCATCTGGTGCAATTCCCAATTCTTACATGCAGCAATAGCTAAAAATGCCCGAACGGTCACCATTTTGGCAACGGGGGCAAATGTCTCCGTATAATCGAGACCAGCAACCTGACGGTTCCCAAAAATAACAAGACGAGCCTTTAGACGTTCAATGCTACCGTCAGATTTATGTTTAATTTTATAGACCCATCTACACCCCAGTGCCCGTTTGCCGGGAGGTAGTGTAACCAGACTCCAAGTAGCATTCTTTTCGAGAGCTTGAATCTCAGCACGCATGGCAGTCCGCCACCCTTCATCTTTGACAGCCTCTTGGAAAGAATGTGGTTCCGTTATAGAGTGTAAAGCTGCCAAGTAAGCTTGATGTTTGGGAGAAAAAGCATCACAAGTAATATAATGAGTTATAGGGAACGGCGTACCTGAAGAGGGTGATGGAGCAGAATGAACAGGGAATGGACTGTTTTTTATTACTGTATGTGTAACGTAGTCCTTGAGTCGGACCGAGGGAGTCTTATGCCTTTGTCCTCGGCCCAAGACTAGCTCCTGGTGTTCACTAGTGTTTTCAGGTTCAGTAGCTTCCATGGAAGGAGTAACAATAGTATCTGTGGGTCCAGTGGCAGGGGAGTCCGAACCGGTGATTCCAGCAGGAGTTCACTTGAAGTTAAATGCCACATCTCTATCGTATTATTAAGAGCAACACACGTGATTTAGTACACTTTTCAATCAATGATTCGACTTGCTGAGAATCACTTTTGCATAATTGCATAAACAATGCAACCAATAAAAGATATTATTAAAGAGAAAATTAATACCGGGTAATGAATAGTGTGAAAAAATAAGTGAGATAGCGCCAAAAATATGAAAAGGAAGATAACAAACAAATAATAAGGATAATATCATAATTTTAAAGGAAAAACTTACCAACAGTAAAATACGTGTAACAAACTTTTAAATATATTCCAAAAAGGAAATCATAACTAATTTTAACAAGATAGGTTGAGTTAATATTAATATTCCAACTTCTGAGCTAAATTTCAACTAACTTCACTAGTGTACTGTGGTTAAGTTTGAAAAAACAAGATGAAGCTATATATTGTCTATGATCTGATTTAGTGATTATTGTCTGAAGTTAGATAAAAAGTTGTTGAAATTGAAATTTTACCTCAATGAAGTAGACTTGTTTGATGACATAGCATAAGCTCTGATCTAAAAATCGGTCTAGGCGTCCGACTAGTCCCCGCCTAGGCGCTAGGCGGTGGTCGGGCGCCCTGATTTTCGTCTAGGCGCTCCGACTAATGGGTTTGCCGTCTAGGTGAATTAGTCGGCCGCCTATGACGCCTAGTTGCCCGCCTAGAGCGCCTAATCAGCCGTCTAGGCTGTCTAGATTCGCCAGACATTATTACTTTACTTTTTAATTTCAGTTTTCTAAACGATATACGTACTTTAGCGTTAGCCATGGATATAAAGAACTGAAGTTGTAAATTAAGATAGCTATATATGTTTCTATATATACCTAAAGTTCATCATTATTTATATTTATAACACAATGAAGTTAAGTGCTTAGTTATCATATACTACGTATGAATTATGATTAAATGTGATAATTCTATCATTCATGTTTGTTAATGTATATGCATATATGTATTTATACACACAAAAATACAATACTACTTATCATATTTATGCAAAAATATAGATAAAAATGCAATTTCTTTGTCTCCGACTAGTCCCCGACTAGGCGCCCGCCGAACCGCTAGGCGCTGGATTGGCGCTTGACTAGCGCCTAACGTCTTTTAGAACATTGAGCATAAGTAAGTAAAGTAACGACTAAAATGTAGAACTAGCATAAAAGTAAATGTTACTCCGTATAATATACTCCGTAACAAGATAAAATTTGAAAAACGAAAGTGTAAAGTCAATCTACAGAAGCTTGCGATAAATTAAAGTGCTAAATTGAAATGTTACAATTAGTAACGATTCAAATGAGCTGATTAATTTTAAATCCAGTCAATATCAACATGACGGGTTAAGTATCAAAGGTAGTAGGTGTAAAATATTTAGAGTAATAAACTTAGAAAGAAGCTGAGGCAAATCTTGAGTAAGAAAATTGTGTAATAAATATATATGCAGAGTAACAGTACAATAAATTTTCAAGCCCTTCCTCACGGGAAAATGTGGCTATTTATAAGCAAAAATAACAAGCTTGGTCTTAAGCTCAAAACGCTAAGCTAGTGAGGGAGCTACATGTGTCGCAAAAGTACTTGGGGAACACGTCAATTCATGCCATGCTGATGCGGTGTCAACCTTGAAAATAGACCCAATGATGTTATTGAGATGCTAAGACCTAAGCCTGTGACGTCTGTGTGAGCAACGGTGACGTAAACCCTGGATATGCAAATGTCTGGAACGTCCGAAAAATTACCAAGCATGAAATCGCTACCTAGCTGAGATGGATTAGGTTCGCTCAACCTCGTCTGACACAACGGTGCAATCGTCGGGTTCTACCATGTTGGATCGAGTAGCTTGGTCCGGAGCAGAATGGACTTGCTATCGAAGAGCTGGTTTATGACGAGATCTCGACCTCGACATAGGGCCTCAACCTGCTAGGTGGAGAACTAGGGCTGTTATCCAGGATCATTTGGTGTGGATCCCTGAAATATATACACTCAATCACAATCATTCATTCGAACAAGGTACTCGTCAATTTATGTATCTTGTTTGATAAATGTTTATCTTTATGTATTCTATAACTACTGAAATCTGATCTAGTCTAATTTGGTCTAATTCAATTTGATATGGTCTGGAGAAATAAATTCACATTAAAACATGTGTAGTGTGAATGTATTGTCATTGTTTATTTCCCTAATTATTACAGTATAAATTACTCCGTAATAACTAATTAACTAATATGCTTACAAAAAATGAAGGTGAGATCTCCTGAAAATCGTAGTACTCCTCAATAATTACGGAGTGTACAATTCAACCCCGTAATATCTGGTCTCGGTAAGGAGTTCAGGTTTCTGTGAAGTTCTGAATAAGCATTCATCGCCCCGCCCGCTTCATCCCAATCCTTTAACCTTTCTCTTCACTTCTCCGCTCTCTTCTAATTTTCAGTTTCCTCTCTTTTAGAAGCACCAAATCCGATCCCCGTTTAGGTAAATGTGTGAGCGCTTAGCACTTCCTCTCTTCATTCTCCATTTTTTCCCGTAAAGGTTATTTCGTTCGCACACGATTTCCTGTTTTCCGGTGGCTACCGTTTGAATTAGCATATGTTATTAAGGAAAAGTACTGTGATTGTTTTGTAAAACCCAGGTTGGAGATTTTATCGTTTTTTATAAAAAAGTTTTTGTTGCATCTGTCTATATTTCTGTCTACCATTCTACCTCTTGTACATACATATTATCTACTTTACTATCTCTTGTTTTCTTGTTGGCTAATATTTTAATGGTAAAACGGATTTAATTCCTTCATGGGCTAAAATTCGTGGTTAATTAATATCTTTTCCACTGAAAAGGGAGCTGTGTCGAGTTATCTAGCTAATGCTTCGTCAAATTGTGAGAAACATGCCTTGTGATTAGAAAAGCTAAATAAAAAAAGAAATTTCGATTTGTGCTTTATTTCACAAGAAAGAGATATTTTTGGTCAACATTTAGGCCCTTGTTTTCCATCTTCTGCCATGTTTTATGGTGATGCTTATTTTGCCGTAGTTTTGTACTTTTAGGGCCAAGTTGGATGCATTTGACTTATAACAGTAAATGGTATGTATTTCCTTGAATGAAGTTGGAGCTTTTGTCAAGTAGCATTTGGGCCCTTTGATCTACCCCTCCTTATGTTTATTCCCGCAATCCTGCCCACTCCCACCCCACCAATGATTCATGCTTGGTTTCTGCTTCAATGTATTTAGTCATGGTGTGCTTGGTCTGTAACTATGTTTTTTTTCTTTCTTTTTGGTATAGCACAAAGGAATGCCATTTCTCTCTCTAATCTAAATTATTAATTTCTTGGATCAGGGAAAAGAATCTTTTGATTGATTTAGCCATCTTAAGTTGAGTTTTAATTCTTTTTGAACACTGAGAATTGGATTTGGGGTTCTCTATTGAGAATGGCTATAGCATTCACCTCTTTGTCTTGGTGGCCATGGAGTGGGAAACACCAAGAACCCAAATTTACTTTAAGTCCATTGCCTGAATCTGGACTGTGGGAATCAGATAAAGTGAAGTTTCCTCTTGACCGTAGACAATATACTTCTAGAAGGGTCAAGAGAAAATGGAGCAGCAGAGAGGAGAGGAAGATTGACAAAGAGTATGATATTGTTCTTGTTCCATCTGACGGTGGGTGTGTGTCTGGGTCTGAGTCTGATGATTCTGATTGGTCAATTGGATGGATGGAACCTCACGGTTCTGGGTTTCAAGGTGATGATGAATCAGATGATAGCTTTGCTGTGTTGGTGCCTTGCTATGGGCATGCTGAGAATTTCGCAAATAATTTGCAAGATCAGTTTCTGAGCACCGTTCGGAACATTCCAGATATTTATGCCACAGGTAAAAAAGGAACTATGTGACTGCCTCTCTTATGATTTGTTGCAATATTTGCTTTCATTCAATTTTCATCTCTTATTGGTATATATGACACAATTCATATAATGATTTTACCAAGTGGCGAATATCAAGTTAGTTATAGATGAATAAAAACACCTAAATATTATGCTTAAAAAAGCTTACATTTGCATTTAGTGATTTAGGTCATATTAAGAGAATACATATTTAGGAATTGTAAGTCTATCTTTGACAATGCATGCTGAATAAGAGGGACTCCATGATAATTACTTGGCTAAGCTTGAATTTCATAGAAAAAGACTGATTTGTACCTGAAATAATTGATGAAATCTATATTTTCCTATCAAAGGCATCTCTTTTGCTTCTGATAAGTCAATACCTAATATAACACACACAAGTAAAATCATATATATGTGGCTTCAGTACAAAATCATTGTCTGTAGGGTATTACACAAGTGTTCAATTCTTAAGAGATTGGCTCTAGTCAAGTAATAACCACTCCCAAAATTAGATTCCTTATGGAGTCAAATGATGTTACCACCACCACCCATTCTTATAGTGAGTTGGCCTGACTATGACACTGGATGGTGATAATGGTGTCCAAGTAAGCTATCTAGTTCTAAATAAGGGAGACGAATCACGAACATGGTTCCTTAAGGGTTTGTTTGGTTCAGGGATTTCGGAAGAGAGGGAAAGGGAAGACCAACACATTTTTAAATTATTTCTACATTCAGATCATCACAAATAAAGCCAAGATAAAAAACTGTATATAAATGCATGATCTAACCAATAATATATATCATCACTATTATCATCATTACTCCAGTGCCGCAAAGGCTCCCCCTACGGTCGGGTAGGGGGTCAGATGTACGCAACCTTGCAACTACCAACCTTACCCCTGTATTAAAGCATAGGGAATGTTTCCGGATGACCCAAAGTGAGAATCGCTTCGAAAATTGCATGGACAGACTGATGCTTCATAACAAAGAAGCACAAACAGCTTAGTGAGTCATTTTGCTTTATTCCATCATATTCCTAAGCCAAAAAATAATTCGTAGTCTATTACTAACAAAAAGAGAAACATTAGTATGATGCAGAGCCTCTGAACCAAACACAACATCCAAGCCTTAGTCCCAAAAGAGTTTGGGATCAGCTAACATGATTCAAGACATAAAATCAGAGCTAAGAAGATAAGAAAGATCAAAAGATAAGATAAGATAAGAAAGATACAAAAACATATGAAAGGCAGAACAACAACAACAACATAATTAAGGTAAGATAAAGATAAAAATGATAAGATAAAAGGAATAAACAAAAAGATAAAAAGGATAAAAGGACAAAGAACGATAAAGAAGATAAAAAGATAAAAGGATAAAAATGATATTAAGAGATCAAGCATTCAAGCCCCTGAACCAAACAAGCCTTAAAATTACTCCTGAGTATGAATGATTTTCCCAAAATTACCTCTTTCTTTTTATTTTTTTATAAGATTGAAAGTGATATCATGAACTTTAGGTTTAATTTGCAGAGAGCAAGACATATATGGAGCAGTGGCTTTCTTCACTTCAGAATGTTTGACATCTTGTGGCACCAGTCCTTACATGATGCTTGTATTACTCTTTATTACTATGGGTGTATGTAGTAAAAGCTCGTTTGTTAAACATAAATGTGAATGAACAAGAAAAAGGAGGGTGATCAAGGTAAGACATGAGAAGAGGTGGAGGAAGATTGTGGTTACTATGATGCTTACACGCTGGTGAGTCAAAAGTGGGGGGAAATGAAGAATGCAATATTTATGGTGGCATTTATGGTTCTTGTGTCTTGCTATCTAAGCTTAGGCATAGAAAATGCTTACAACATTCTTTGGAGTATATATTATTGTGGGATAGATGTTGTTTGGTTCTTTATTATTATTATTATTATTATTAAGGCTGTTGTAAGTAGCTCTCAGTATGGAAATATGGATTGTTAATAATGATACTCTATTGTAAATAACTGGATAATGTCTGTTTTCACTGGTGATGCAAATTAAATAGTTCTGTTCTGTTGGTTAAATAGTGAGTACCTGGTCCATGCCTTCCTCCTGTGTTTTCCTCGTGTGTAGGCCATTTTTTGTATTAACCCTTTCCTGCTATGTTTTTTGGGTTTTTTTATTACAAAAATATCACCAAAATAAAACTTATTTATACAAATATGACTAAGAGTTACTATAATGTAATATGATGGTAACTTGAGAGAGCAAGATGAATATGTCTTTCATCTTGCTTGCTTTCAAGAATAACTATTTAAGAAAATGTGAATATATTAGAATTGTATGGTTGTAGTTGGGTAAGAAAAAGGAAAATGAATACTAACCACACCAAACTTTCCAAAAAAAATGAGAATTTGTTTGTTAACAACCCAAAAAGGTAAGTGAGAATAATTTTTAGAAGCGAGTTGGGTTGAAAATGATAATCTTTTTTATGTACAATTTACAAACAAGTTACTCACTCCGCCCATAATGTAAGATACGCATGAATTTAATAAATGTAAGAAAATAAAGTGAACATTTGACAATTCCAACATTGAAAAAAGCATGACAGTCCACCGAAAGTAAAGGATGAAATTATAAGTAACCATATAAAGTGGGGGGAAACAAAAAAATTAGCATGATGACATGATCCAATGCAGGAAAGTTTTTTTTTTGGAGAAATAAAAAAAGAAAGTGCATCTTACTCAATCATTGAGTATATGTTAAGTTTAATTTGTAAAGTTTTTAATTTTATCATTTACACGGAGTATCATTTGTACGTGATTACTTTAAGCTTCGAATTAGATATATGAAACCAATTTTACGTAATTAGATAAATTGAACGGCCTGTCAAGATAAAGTTCCCAAAACTATTCTTGTGTTTATTTGATTTATAATTCTACTAAACATGTGTACCCTTACATTGTTACTCTTACAGACCTACTTACTGTTGATACTGAGATGTGTGATTATAAAGAACTAGTTTTGTGTCGCGCGTTGCGCGATAGCGTAATGCCCAATATTTTTTTTTACCTAAGTTAAACATTATGTTTTTTTTTTCATTTGGTTCTCTTGCTGCATTTGAATTTCACACTTGTTTTGGTAGCTTCAACGTTAATTATTTAAATAGATTGTATAAGTGAAAATTCTCAAAATAAGAGTAAAAATGTTTTGAAATTCTTAAATAGGACATTCATATTTTTATTTTCTAAATATGAGTAATTACTGCAAAAGTTGAAAAATATTGTCATGCTTATAGTATGGAAATGATAAAACATGATAGTAATTACTCTTATTTAGGAAATAAAAACATTATAGTTATAATTTGGAATTCACAAACGTTTTACTCCTATTTAGGGCAATTTTTGTTGTATAATTCAAACATAAACTTGGAATACCCCATTTCAAAGGAAATTACTAATAGATACCTCAAACTTATGAAAGGTAATTAAATTTGGAACTCGTTCATTTATGAGTAGCTTAAAAATAAGAGCGCCCTATAAGTCATTTATTTATAACTTATATATTCTGTATCAAAATAAGTGTCAATTTTTTCATTTTTTGGAAGTAACAAATGAATGTCACATTTTTATTTTATAAAGAGATCCACCCCAAAAGCAACTACATTACACTTTAATGAAGTAAACAGTGCTTGTACAGTATAAAAAATCTCATACTTTTTTTAGGAAAATGTACAATAAATGTATAAATTATCATAAACTACGCGAAAACATATTAAAACACCTATTTACGTTACAAAGGGAGTATATAAAAATTAGCAACATAGGAGAAAACTTTGAGTATTAGAGTCCGTTTGGTAGCACGAAAATCGGCTGTTTTGGCTGATTCTGCTGAAATTTATGAAATTCTGGCTGCATTGGCTGATTCTGCTGATTCAAGAAAAAATTATTTTTAAAAATTATTTTATTAATAAAATAAAGAAAAAATTATATGTAAAAATAGCTAAAATTGTCATCTACAGTAACTTCAGCCAATACAGCCAGAAAAGTAACTCCAACCTTACTTTCTCTGCTTATTACACAATTCAGCGTGCAAAAGCAAAAATTACGTGTTTGGTGAAAAATTTGGCTGATAAGCCTGATAAGACGAAAAAGAGGGCTACCAAACGGCCTCTTAGAAGAAAAACCCACACCTACCAAATAACAAAGTGGACAAATTAATACGGAGCATGCAACTCCCTTTCTTTCTAAAGGAGTTCAATCGTCACAATAAAAGCTAACGGAGTATGTAATTAATAAACACTAATAATCAATTGGAAAAATTGATAAGATTAATCTCACATTTCACTCGTCTTCTCATAATAATCTTATCTTTACATAATCCCAAAATAATTCCAACTTTGCACCACATCTTCTTTCATTGGACCCTGACCAAGTTTTTTACCTTTGAAAATCTTATATAAATAATCTCACATTTATAAAGATATAATATAAAAGTGAAAGGTGAGATTGTTTATATGATTTTCACAAAAAGAGTAAAAAACATGGTCAGGGTCCAATGAAAGAAGATGTGGTGCAAAAGTTGGATTATTCTGGGATTACCTAAAGGTGAGATTATTATGAGAAGACCAACGAAAGTTTGGATTACTTTTGTCAATTTTTCCTAAACAATTTAGAGTGAGTGAAAATTGGAGCAGACAAACAAAAACGGAGAAATGGAGTTAAAGTTAACGGAGATAGTGTCATAATTGGGTAAAGAAATGGTTGTACAATAATTTAAGCATACAGATCAAGTTAATATTGCTTTGATGTTACACCAACATTTTTTTCATTCCTAAAACACCCTAACCTTCATTGGTGTTTATAAGATTTTAGATTAGGAGTAGGAGGTTGGGAAGAAGCACTTATTTTACCGTGCTTTGCCCTAAATTAGGGTTGGTTTGCAACTCCTTTTAAAAAAACACTTCTCAGCTTCTGACTTTAAAAAAGCATTTATTTTTCCAAATACTACAACTTTTATTTTTCTCGGCTTCCGCGTCAAAAGTGCTTTTACTTTTTCTATTACACAAAAAGCACTTATTTTACCAAACACTACCCACTTTTACTTTTCAAAATCATTTTTTTCTCAAACACTATCAACTTTTATTTAATCACTTCTCCCCATTTCACTAAAAAAAGCACTTTTTTAAAAGAAGAAGCTGTTGCAAACAGACCCTTAGTCGACTTCAAAATGAGATTTGACTTTCAAATCAAAGACAAAAATTGCACAAGGTCCTTGGGGTACATATAGAGCAAACTTAGAAAACTAAATTATACTCCAGAATCCAGATGTTCCCTAAGCTCGCGTTAAAAAATAAAGATCATCCTATATATAAAGCAAGAAAGAATGATCTACATATAATTCCTATGGTTTTTTCAAAAAAGTGACCAAATCATTTTGTCTCCTGCACCAGCCTCCTGGTCCTCCCAACTGTTACTACCACAGACGACCTCCTAAACACATCGTAGGAAAAATCATTGCTAGTTACTTGTAATATGAAATCACTGACAGTAACATAGAATGCCATATAATTAAGATTAAGAATGTTTTTCAAGTCACCATTTGTACCTATATGCTATTTTAGTGATATTGGGGGGATACACCCCATTAACATAATCACATACGGAGCATATGATATTTTACATCAGTTTATCCGAAGTCCAAACTAAACTCAAGCCAACAGTATCAACAAGGCAGGGCTTACCTCATTCACTAACATATGAAATATAATCAGGTAAGTTAGGTAACGACAAAATGGCTCTTTGTTTACAAAGGGAGATGGGGGCTACAGGTAAAACAGTGTTCTTAGTTATAACTACACATCATCCAGAAACGGTGAACAAAAGAGAGTGAGATGGCAGGGGGAAAGGAGAGTTTGGTGGGTAACGAAGAGGGGTCAAGAATCAAACAATACATACAATTTTGGGTATCAAGTCACCACCTGCTTCTCATCCACATCCAAACTCGGTGATGTATCTTTTTGATTTACATCTGCACTCTGGTTTTCACCAACATGGTTCTCAACTGTGCTTTTACACTCAACTTCACCCTGCTTCCCATCATTCTCATCACTCCTTGATGATGTGTCAATTTGCTTTTCTTGAAAACAGACACTAGCAGCGCCACTAGTTGAAGCAGAAGCAGAAGCAGAAGCAGCCTTGTTTTTGTCTTCAGAACCATTACAATGATTCAGTGCCCGGATTTCTTCAACGGGCTTTTCCATTACGTTTCCTAAGGCAGGGATGCATGAATCTCCCACAGCTTTGGAGTCAATCACGGCTACCCGAGTAGAGCTTGAGCTGTTAGGCACCACATTGGAGGTGGTAATAGCTGAATCTTCAACGTTTTTCGGGTTTATACCGTTTGACACTTCAGCTGAAGCTTTGGGTCCCGAGACAGTGGTACTGGTGGCTGAATTTGTCTGACCAACGGGCAGATATGCAGGTTTGCCAGTCCGTGTGGCGTTTGGCATCGTTTTAGAATGAGACAACAAGCCAGTACGAATGAAGTGCACATTACTTGGCAATGCGTTTGGGCCGGATGGTTTGACCATCTGGGCTCCTCCACTAGGCATTATCCGGACGGCATTCTTAGACTGTGCAGCCTTAAGCAAGGATGCGGCATCCGAAGGGGTAGCAATGCGGGCCCCGGCGGCAACTGCGGCTGCTTTAACCATTGAGTCTGGGCTTGGAGTTGTTGGTTTTGAGAGAACCCGTGGTTTTTGGAGTAGCGCCATTCCTGGTTTCTGTGCCACCATTGCAGGTTCTTGTTGAGCAGGAGGCTTACCATTAGCAGTAGCAGCAGGAGGTTTACCATTAGCAGCAGCAGCAGGATGTTTACCATTAGCAGCATTTGACCCTGCTCTTTGAATAATACTAACATGGATTACACAAATATTTTCACAAATTCGATCAAGCTATGTGGGGGATGGGTAAAGAGTCAATTTTGTAAGAAATCTTAGTCAATTTGGAGAATTACCACTACTGATCGAACAAGCAGCTTTTAGACTATCGCCTATTGGCATATCCAGAGCCAGAGACATTGCCCTGCGAGCTGCTAATTGAGCCTCTGAAA